AAACTCAACGTTAAAATGCACTTATGACATATAAGATTTAAGATATTTTGATTCTCAGAATTGCTTTTTCTTAATATTCCATTATAATTGTAAACCCTACATTGTTTTAGAATTCAGGTGGTACAAATAAACAGAACTAAGTTGTAGGACCCTTGATTTTCCGGAAGATTTTAATAACGTTAATTGTACATAAGGAGAAAATATTTATTTTTCTCAAATGCTTTCTTCAACTGTCTTAAAACCTTATTCCTGAATGATATATTGGGTAAATTTGAATGAAAAAGCACACGATTTGCAGCCATATTGCCGCTTTAAAGATTGTGTGGTTATTGCCATAGGCGCTTGGGTCAAGGATACTGTATTTTTTCTATATAATATGTATTGTCGAGGAAATTCGAACTTTACTCGTCACATTTTTTTTCAGTGTGCAGTGTTAATTTTTAGTTTTTTGTAAATCTTTCTGCTTCATATTCACTAGAATATCGCTGAAATTCGATTTTATGAATGCTTTGAAAATGACATATCCCACTGTACACTAAAAAGAATCAAGGCTTGCAACTTCGTTAACCCCTTTCCGTGCCCCAGACTCGATTTTTTTCCTTTTAAAAGTTATATGCGCCGCTTACCAGCTGAATTATGAACCCCATCTCTCCAGAAAATTCTTATGTAATGATAAAAATCCTCAGGTATAATCTTTTCATCCATCTTATATTTTTAATCAATTATTTCTCTCCAATTTCGCTCGATTTTTCGTCTAATCACGGAAGTCACCGGAATTCCAACATCTGAACCCAAAACAGACGGACAGAAAATTAATTGACAGGTCTGAAAATCGCAAGGATCAGAGTATATGCCAGTTAAAACTGTCTAAAACTTCTTATATTATCACTGACAATATATAATATTTTTAACCTGTTTCTAATCAAAGGTATATACTTGTACATGTAGACGGTAGAAGGGGGGGGGGGCAAATCTAAATACACTTGTGTTTCAGGTTAAACATTATGAAGATTTAGGAATAAATTAAACATTGCAGCAAGTTTATTTGAACAAAAACTGCATGTTTTCCTTTACTATTACTACAGGTGACTTGATCTGAATGACGCAAGTAAAAGCTGTGCATATATGCCTGCAGCCAGAATAAATATATACCAGTTGAATTTTTTTAAACAATTTTTTTACACTGCATAAATCAAATATTTTTTTTTTAAAAATTACAAAAAATCTACTATTGAATTAGCAGCTTAAAACGAATATCAGTAACACCAGAATTCATTGATCATTTATCAAAAATACTTTATGCTCAGGAAAGGAGGGGGTGTGATTCAAGTTCGCACTTACATTGTTCGGATTTGTTCCCCTAACTCGGTATATTACTTTCATCAAAACGACAGGTAATCCCCATCACACCCTACTGTACACACTTTTTTCACATTTAGTGCCAAATGGTTATTGCATCTATTTGAGAGAGAGAGAGAGAGAGAGAGAGATTCTACGACCATTGAACTTCCCACATCGTTCTCCTGAAATACAGTTTGAGTTTAGACAGATTTTCTTGCTTTCTTTCTTTTCTTTTTTTATTATTAATTAATTTATTTATTTATTTATATTTTTATTTTTCGTTGTACGCATTGATTTTGATTAATAAACACTGTTGAACAATAAGACGCCCCCCCCCCCCTTCCGTCTATCAATTAGACTTTAATTTCCTTTGATTAAGGATACAAGTTTAAAATATTATATATTGTCAGTGATTATATAAAAAGTTTTAGACAGTTTTAATCGGCATATACTCTGATCCTTGCGATTTTCAGAACTGTCAATTAATTTTCTGTCCGTCCGTTTTGGGTTTCGGATGTTGGAATTCCGGTGACTTCCGTGATTAGACGAAAAATCGAGCGAAATTGGAGAATAATTGATTAAAAATATAAGATGGATGAAAAGTTTATACCTGAGGATTTTTATCATTACATCAGAATTTTCTGGAGAGATGGGGGTTCATAAATCAGCTGGTAAGCGGCGCACATAAAAGGAAAAAAATAGAGTCTGGGGCACGGAAAGGGGTTAACGAAGTTGCAAGCCTTGATTTTTTTAGTATACAGTGGGATATGTCATTTTCAAAGCATGCATAAAATCGAATTTCTGTGATATTCTAGTGAATATGAAGCAGAAAGGTTTACAAAAAACTAAAAATTAACACTGCACACTGAAAAAAAATGTTACGAGTATTGTTCGAATTTCCTCGACAATATATTATATAGAAAAAATACAGCATCCTTGACCCAAGCGCCTATGGTTATTGCATTTAAATCCACTGCAAATCTCAGCTGATGTCGCCACGCTTTTAAATGTAAACAACATTCCGTGTCACCGAGTGCAAGTGCTTCGCTGAAGCCGAATAAAGACAAACAACACATTAAAACGAGAATTAATTTAAAGACATGCTATTTCATATACGAGAGAAAAAAAAATTCCATTTAAGCATGAAAATATTGCTGTTTATTGCAAAAGTCTTGAAAATATCGGTAAACAGTTATTTTGAGCACTATTTCCTTATATGGATCAATCAGGACGGAGCAACTGTCATGACGTTAGACCTCATTATGACCTCATTACCATATTTTTTTCCTCAACTGTACTGCGATCCCAAATTAAATCTTAGTTCCTCCGTATAAAAGTTAAAAAGTAGGTAAGTAGTAAGGGAGAAGGAATTCTTCAAACATAATCATTTTTTATTCAACAAATTACAGAACATTTCATCATTTCATTTATAAGTCATTTTTGAAATATAAATATTACAATTAATATAAAACGATGCGATGAAATGATACAGTTCTGCATCATTATTTACAAATATAATTTTGGAAATGAAAATAACAATAACAACAAATACTACAAATAAAATATATATAAGATAATATATATAAAAAATATAAATAAGAAATTAAGCACAACCATACATTTTTTTTTATTAAGCATGTTTAGAGCATATAGATGCCCTTTATCCAACTAGGTTCATACTTATTTCACAGAGTGTTTTTTGGGTTAAGAGTGTGCAGTGACCTTAAACCATGTTAAAGGTCTAAGGTTAAGGTCATAGCAGAATCATATCATTATTATGTATATGAAAAGTCCATGTCTTCTCTCCTTTTGTGCAATGTGGCTCATACTTCACTCACAGAGTGCCAGTGGTAAATTGATTTGCAGTGACCTTGAACAAAATTTCTAGGTCAAGGTCAAAAATAGCCTCTCTTTCTAAAATCTTTGTTCTGTACATATTTTTCCCTAAAGTCCATTCGGTCTCAAATAGATTGACTTGGTACGTGGTTTTCAGACCATATTATGATAGAGGATATGCAAGAATATTCATAGAGGATACATTTCAAAAAGTTTTCAATTGTTTTATTTTTCAAGGAGTAGTTACTTTTTGCCCCCCTTGATCTAGAACACCTTCAAAATTCACCCTTCTCAGCTACCTTACATTTTCATGCCCATTACTAAACGCGGGGCCAGTAGACATGACCACCATCTCAACAATATCTAGTTTTCATTAAAATAATGTTTCATTTTATACATTTTCATCAGATACAAAAAAGACACACACTAATACCCGGAGCGCTTCATCTATAATCCTTGGCCTAACCCGACTTCAAAAGCTTAATTCTTGTAACTTTTCTCAACACAGTCACTGCTTATAACTTGACACATTTCTTATGTTGCTTTAAGCAGTCATCATGAATGTGCACATACTCTTCAGATTTCATATGTAAAAAAATATTTATCACTTCTTGTCTCAGATCCTGCAAATCATCAAACCTGTTTCCGTGTAAGAACGATTTCATTTAAGCAAATAAGGTAAAGTCAAGATACAAAATTAATCTTTTACAACAGTGCAATCTCAGAATGGTGGTATTTCTTCACGCATGTCATCCTGTAAACTGTTCCTTCCGTCCATAATTTTTATACTCCATATAAATAAACTTAAGAACGTCTTTCTTTACTATATTTTCCCAAACAGTTGGCAGGGGATGCTTACTCCTTCTTGGCACGTAATCCCAGCTTTTATGTTTCGCAGGTCCGTTTTTGCCATGCTCCTATTTTGTATTTATTCATGGACTTTTGATCTTGTATACCAGGCGCGGATCCAGGATTTGGAGTGGGGGGGGGCGCCAAAATTAGGCTAGGAGTCTGGGGGCCGCCTTGAGGCCCCCAGTGGATCCAGTGCAAAGCCCTGGTGGGGGCCCAGGGGGCGAAGCCCCCGGAAGCTCCTGGATTCTAGAGATTTTGAAGGGTTAAAAAGAGGTCTACCAAAGCCCTGGTGGGGGCCCAGGGAGCGAAGCCCCCGGAAGCTCCTGGATTCTAGAGATTTTGAAGGGTGAAAATGAGGTCTACCAAGTAGACATATTTGATTTAAGCTAACTTTGACAATTTTAGGGGGGGCGCACCGGGTGCGCCCCCCCCCCGTAAAGCCGCCCCGGTTTACGGTTGTTATGTGCATATATTTCATTTCAATTAAAACATTAAAATTTCAGTAAAGATACGTTGATTTACATCGGGTTCTGGGTTGGACCTCATGATAACCTATTTTAGCGCCTTCCTTTGATCCGACACTGAAGAGTGCAGATGTATCTCCATCCCTGTCGGGTGTTTTCGGGTTTAAGGCCAGTCTTACCCTTGGTCAGATTCACTGTGTTTAGTATACAACAGACGTTTTGAATAAAGACGAATCTCTGGGTTATTGGATGTGTATGTTTTTATATAAATCATACATTGCCTGTGGTTTCTCATTCGATGCTTAATTATTTAAGTATTGAATAATTGCAATAAAAAGAATGTATTTTCCTTGTCTGTTGTATTTCCGTCGTACGTAAGGGAATATATTAGATGTAACATATATAGTTCATTGTACTTGCTGCTAATTTAATATTTTTTTTTTTAATTAATTTCTGTTACTCCTTTGCAGACTTTGTATCTTACCTTTCTAGCCTTTTTTATTTCAGTGACGTCATCAATGAAATTATCCGAAGGATATGGAAAAACAGTTGATGATTTCTTCACTTATCTTCTCAAAAAGGATATTTTCAATGAACGAAATGTCATTATGATTCAGTACCTTATGAGGCGCATACAACGTCTACAGCTTGAGCTAAAATGCATAGAGTACGCGAAAAATGAAAAAGAAAATTTGTGTTACTTTGAAGAAACAAAGCCAGCAGGTCAGAATTTAAATATATATGCACGTTTAAGGTTTGACAGAGCAAAGAAGGTTCATTCCTTATCTCAAGGGAAGTGATGCAAACATGTTTATACTCGAATTAATTGGCCATTAATAAGAGTCATTGACATTGAATTTAACAACTCTAGATGTAAAATTCCATTCATTTGATTTATATAAGTACAGTTGCAATACAAATTAAGCCCGACATTTTTTTTTAGATATGAAAGTCATAGAAGAAATCACAATTATTCTTTCTTAATCATAGGAATCCCCAATATTTTTATTTTGAGAAACATACGCTGCCAACGTCGCCCAGAAATATTTCAAGACATGTGATTTTTCATAGCAGTTTACATAATATATCCAAAAATTAAAGTGAGCAACGGTGGCAGAGATTATTTTCTAAAGGAAAATTAGCACAGAATTGAGTCATTTTGAGGTTTTTATGCATTAAACTGAGAAATGTACCAAATTAATGACGTCATTTTTTCAGAAAGGCCCTCTTTCATGCCATATTCTTTCATGATTAATCATACCCAGTATTTATCTGCTCAACTACTGTTAAAGCCAATTTCATTTCACCCCCCCCCCCCTCTTATTAAAAATAGCTTTGACAATCTTTTTTTATAATGCAATTCCCAAATAAAATTGATAAAGAATAAATTAATTTGCTTTTTTTTATTTCAAATCTTTTTGGTTTGGTTTATTACTTGAGTATAATCAAGATAATTTCGTATTTTTATCCGGACCGGTTTTGACTTTTATCGGATGAAAGTGTACGTCGTGTTTAACGTTACTGTTGCAGCAGAAGTGCTGGGTGTTTAAAAAAGTAAGTCATCTCCTAACAATAACTTTGTTTTCTTTTTGTTTTGACTTAAATTTTCTTACGTACTGATTTGAAAGTGAAAGTAGGAACCTGTATAACAGTTTTGTATGTTGAGATCGTTATCAAGTCAATTCTTTCATCAACTTAATGACAAATGTTTGTTTTCATGGCCTATAGATGCATTCAACAACTTGAGTTCAATGTCACAGTGCTGCTTTTTTTTTTTTTATAAAGTCCAAGAAGCCCAAAGCTGATAAAACTGGCGATTGATCCTAAAGCTGATTCTGACAGACGATTTCATCATCACATTATTAAAGGTAAAAATATTGCAATAAAAAATCAAAGTGAACATCTGTAATGACTCCTTTATGACAAAATAATTCTTGATAATTTCTTTTCGTTCTTTTATAATTCTATATTGTTTGCACGGCTTCATCAAAAATAAATTCAACTCAATAATATAGAAGACTTATTCTACATTGTGAAACAATTTTAATCAAATGCACTTTAAAAATTATGAAAATATAAAAAGAATTTTCTTGCTTTAAAAGCTATGAAACTATACAATGACTTCAGGGTAAATTGAATTTTTGAATTTTAGCAAAATATTAATAATAACAGTGGCAACTTTCAAGGTACTATACATGTACATGTGACTATGTGTTGAAAGGACATCAGATAGCTAATCCATTGAATATTTACATCTATGTACCGGTATTCATTGACTGACATTTATATTTTTTCCAACACTAGAGAACCTAGATCAGGTAAGGACATTGGCAAGGTTCCTGGCTTTAGTATAGAATTTTTGAAGAATTCTTGAGCAGGTGTAATGGAATGAAACGTTTTAAATTCTGGTATATTTAACCCACCAAGCCACCCTCCCTTTTAAGATTTTGTCAAATCAATGTTTTTACAGTTCTCAATGCATTTCCTATGTAAAATGTTCATAAAAAGTACCTACCTAATTTTTTCACCATATTTTTTTTCCAAAACCAATTTATTTCAGAATGTTTATGTAATATATACATTATTGTTTCCTCATTTTGAATGATATCTAGATACCATGACTGAAAATGTAAATTTAGAAACATGACACAGATCTGCCAACACTGTTCTTTATTTCAGAGTTACTTCCCTTAACATCTAATTTGTATGAATTCATAAACTGCTCAAATATTTCCCTTAATTATTGGAAACAAATTACGAGGGGCATTTCAAAAGTACTGAGAACTGTTTGATAAAAAATTAACCGTTTCACGGAAATTATTGAGTTTGATATCATTGGAAAGATCAGAAAAATATACACATATTGTGACGTCACTTTATAATTTGTATGACGTAATAACTAAGAAAATGACGTCAGAATTCCGCATGCTTACGATACTGGCCATAAAAATGACGTAACAAAAGACGCAATTTGATCAAATTAAAATTTTAAAAACAACTTTTGCTCATTACTCGGGCGCAAGCTATCGGACGCAAATGTCAGTTGGTGGAGTGTTTATATAGACTTCAATCTATCATATGTATCATAAAACATTGGTATGGATTTGTTTTTAATAAATGTTTGCAGTTACTAAAGGTTGCTTCCTTAGCAGGATCTTATACAGTTATAGGAGCTACTATCAATTGACACATCTTTGTCAAGTATAACCACGGTAAATCAAATAACAGCCTGATGAACACTGTTTACTGCCTGTCCCTGAATATAATTTACAAAAAATCAATCACCGCTTTTCGTTCTTGCTGTAGAGATGATTCTACCCGTTGAACAGGTGTTTTAGGGGGCACATGCGTTTTTGTTTACCTTTATAAAATACGCCAATGTTAGGGCACCAGTCTATTTGTTGGTTTTCATTTTGTATCTAGAATTTTTCTAGTGTGCGACGGAAAAGTGCGAGGTGATCCGATGAGTTTTATAATAGAAAAAAACCCAGGATATAAATCCTTTTTCTTCGAAAAACCATGACTTGCCAATGTCCTTAAGACAACTGAGAACCTACAAACTTGTACTCTCTTTTCTGTAGTTTAAGTTTTAGTTATGCTTAGAAAATATCTACTGTGTGAATATTTGTTTTACATGTTCAATATACAGTCAGTCCCTCATAAGAATTATCCAAAGATGCAAGGCTTGCTTCAAAGTTACTACACATGTAACTACACACTGATTAATTCTTTCCAACAAAGTCTGGGATATCCTGGAATCATAAAGTCAATTTTTTCTGCCTATTTGTGTCAGAATCTTCTTAATTTTTTGCAATTTAAATTGATATATACTACATGTATTTGAACATTCCGAATTCAATTGTCAAAAATTAAAAATGAAGCATATCCATAGTGTACTTGTCTTGCAAAATTCAATTCAATTGTCAAAATAAAATGATTTTTATGAAGCAAATCTTCCACTAGTGTTATTGTCTTGCGAATTATATCATAGATTGTAAGGCATACCGTTTCCACAAAACACCTAGTATAACATATATAACATAAGTTTTATCTCATATTAAATCTGTGTTGGTGAACTGGGCATACGTTTTTTGCTGAGAATAAGTAACTTAAAAACTTGTAGAATTGATTCTGTAATTTTAGAATTATTCTATTTTTACTTTTGAATTTTTTTAGAGACCATTCTGTGCAACAAAGAAATTGTTCAGGAAGGGAAGAACTAGTGGATTTGCATTTTTGGTACAGTTTAAAGAGATTTTCAAAATGGTCAGATCTGAGGGAGGACAACTGAAAAAAATGAAAGATACAGAAGGAAAAAGAACAAGGAATTATATGGAGTAATTATGAAAAGGGCAGGATGTGCACAATCTTGTCTGAATTTGACCTGTAAAGATTTCTCATCCTAATTTGTATGCTGGAATATCAAATAAGTTGATTTTTCATAAGTTTACAATAGAGAACACATATGGCAAATGTTATTCCTGATGTTTCAATTTTGCTTTGTACACTTTCATGTCATATGTCATTTTTATACAAGTACATGACCTAATCATGTTATTCATTTGTACATGTATACATGTTTAACTACTTAATCATTTTGTTGAAATCTTATAATTTGTACACATTTTAGAATATGTTAAATAAATGTATCGACAAATGCTACTGACTTGTTTGTATATTTTATTGTTTAGAATGTACACTGTAAAAAATAAATTATTTCTCGTGATGAAAATAATTTTATCAAAAAAGTTGTGAAAGCATTATAAGATATTTTCAAATATTTAACCCATGAAGATAGATTATTGTAATGTAATGAATTTTCATCTAATGCAGAAATATCTGATTTTTAGATATTGTCTTTCTGACGTACTTTCTATTTATCAATAAAAATATGCATCATGACTACTTGGGGGCAAAGTAGACATAATGCATATTTTTATTGATAAATAGAAAGTATGTCAGAAAGACAGGTCATGTTGTATATTGTTAAAAATGAATTTTTAAATGAATTTTTTATATTAATGATTGGAAATTTCATTTTATTTCATATAATTTACAAAAGATAGATTTATTTTACAACAAAATAAAACGAATAAAAATGCCAAGAATTTTGAAGACAAACTTGTCAGCTTAATCAAGTACAAAAGAAATAATAAATGTTTTTACATGTCAACAGATGTACAAAGTTTTGCTTGATTGCAGCGTCCAGTCTTTTATTGTCAAAAACCTTTTTGCTAATTGACTCTGGTCAACAGGTAAATAATTTAATCTCACATAAAAGAAGGGAAATTGACTTTTTGGCATAGGTGTTATTTTGGTACTTTTTGAGCTTTAGCGGTCAGTCTAAATTGTTTACATTAAGTATTTAGCCATTTACCCTCTCGGCTATCTTTTTGTTTAATTGGTTCTTGGCCAAGGACAAAGAAACCGAGTGCGCATTCACTTTTGTGCATTACCTACCTTTTTGGAAGTTTTTACTTATATGGTTAATTTTCACACTTTTCGGACAATATAGTTTTTAATTCTAAATTCTGATTGGCTAATATCTACAGCCCGCAGTGTGGGTCTCCGTATGGAAAGTGGCCCGACTCTCGGTCATTCCATGCAGAGTCGCCACTGAATAAAGACGTAAATTTATATTTGAATCCTTTTCATTTGGGTTGTAGGTATGTAGCACATTTTATTAGATTTCTATCTTTAATTTCTTTTATTTTTATAAAACATTGCCTAAATTTGAGCTAAGATTGGTTAATATTAAATACTTTATAATTGCTATAAAACGATCGATAGGTGAAATAATTATTTTAATGTCTGATTATATAGTTCAAAGTTAATTATTTTTGCTAAGGAAATGTCTAACCTTTATGATTTTTATACGCGCCTGTTTACATTTTTATATTTACTGTCGTTTAAATACTTTATCTTGATTAACTTAAAATCTCCGGAAACTTGTCAAATATTTTACATCAGGTTTGAATTTAGCGCCCTTGTTTATTTTTGGAACTCTTTAGTCAAAAAAGTTTAATTTATTTTTAGCAATTGTCAAAATACATTTCGGCATGTTGTTTTCTATTTCTTGTAAGTAAATGACAAGCGATTATGATTAGTAATATTTTTTATGTAAGGTAACAGGTCGCACGAATGAGTTGTTCATTTATAACTTTGTTATTTTAATTGATTATTTGTTCACAGCGACAATGTACGTATAGCTCGAATGATCTCTGTCCTTGTTTATATACTGTTGAAGTCTTACAAAAGTGTTTTAATGAGTAAATGATTGTGCATTGTTAAAGTAAATTTAATTGATTATTGTTCATTTGATTTTAAATATTGTGCATTCCATGCAGAGACGCCACTGAATAAAGACGTAAATTTATATTTGAATCCTTTTCATTCGGGTTGTAGGCAGTTACACTTTTGAGTGGTCCTCCTACACTCTAACAGGACTTGTGTGTCTATAAGGAAAAAGACGCATCTGTCAATATGTACAAGAATGTGAAAAATATTGAAAGAGAACACACATAACTCTTTCATATGATTTACATATGACAGCCTTTTCATATGATTTACATATATAAATTGCTTGCCAAACACATAAACCATTCATATGCAAATCATATGAAGTTATTTTCATATGATTCACATATGTGGATCATATGTAAATCATATGATTTGCTTTATATGATTCCCATATGCCTTTTTTATGATTCTTATATGAAACCAATTATATAAGAATCATATGATACTCACATGTGGATCATATGTTGCTAAGTTGCCTGTGTATCAGGTACTACTGTTTGAAGTTAAAGGTATATTTATTGACTTTGGAATTTTCACAGAATCCTGAGTAAGACCATGGGGGGATTGCATGGATAAAGATAATTTAGATCGTTGTCAAGGGGTCCTCATACCATATCAGATTATGCCGAAATAATTTGGGTTTTTGTTTTTGAAATCGCTACGAATGAATTAAATTATTGAGAAATTCTAACCGAGATTATTATTGTTTCTTGAAGGTAGATAGTTAGAAAATGATCTTTAGTTTTTGATTTTGCAAAGTGGTACAAAAGATAAGGGATCGCCTTTGTTCTCGAATTGATATCGAATTGATAAACGCTTGTTTGTCAACATATATATTCATTTTTCATTCCATGTACACAAACTATCTGCAAAATTATATCTCCAATATATTGTAAAATTGCTGCTTTCCGAAAATTAACCGAACCACAGGGGGAAAAAAATTCTCAAGCGTTTAATTCCTTTTATCTTTCAAATGATCTGATTTTTTTTTACTTTCAAATGATTTATAGTGCAACAATATATTTCACTAAGCTTTTAATAATAAAATTATTCTAGTTTTATCTGTATTTTAAAAATATAGTTATAAATCTTCTTAAAGAATATGTTTTTCTCTTTGACAGAAGATGGGAAAACCCACGTCAAACTACATGTAAATGACAACATTGAACAGTTCACAAACATGGATTCATTGTTAGCGACAGTAGCAGCTATAGCTAACTGTGAACGAAGTAGCATAGAAATAGTTGGTTTACGTCCTGCGAGTAGTTTCATCATTGTTATATCAATGAAAGAAGATTCTGCAAAGAGACTCAGACAGAAAAGTCCGCACGAACTTGTTGCATTGATGATGTACAAAGTAGACTGGATTGAAATTGAAAATGAACCTATATACATACCACGAAGTAAGTATATATATGAACATACATGCTTAATGTAACGAAGAAAACATGAAAAACTTCAGGGAAGCTTTAGGCATTTCATTCTATCTTCAGAAACTTGACAAAATAAACAAAAGTTGTAACATTGTAACGTTACTCAATAAAGGGAGAGTATATGACGTCGTTATTATGAAGTCATATGTACTTTGACGCCATAGTTAACAACTAATTGCGTACAGGTAAAAATAAGGGAAATCACAATCCTTTAATACACTGATATTTCGGTAGGTACATGTAAAAACCCATAACATAAGGGAAGGATAACTTTTTAAAGTTTTGTTTTGCATTTGAAAACAGTTTGACAAGCCAAAGATAGAGGGAAACTCTATTTCAGGTGGAGATTGGGGGTTAGAAGTACTATCAAAGGATAGATTATTCATTTTCTTGCTGGATGAGAACAGTCTATTTAATTTTAAAATCTGCCAGGCCCATCTCTTTGGAATCAGAAAGTGCATACGAGGGCTGTTTGGAAATTATTGAGACATTGTGTATATTTTGCTTTCTAATAAACACCTTTCGGTGAAAATTTGCATATACGTTTTACATACACTTAAATTAATATGAGCAAGAAATATTTTACAAATTTTAAATATTTTGTATACAATGGTATATAAATGTATCTATAGTAGGGTTCCCGGAGCAGTCGCGGAATCAGGTATTGAAAATATGTAACACCAAAATTCTAACTCTTCGTAGATCCATAATGAAAGCGAAAATAATTCAGTTTAAGTGTATAATTTTTCAGCTTTGTTTCAATTTCATGTTAAGCGACTTTGATAGAATTTTGATACGAAATACGGAAATCAATCATAAAAAAAATTAAGCTAACGACGACAAAATAGATTTTGACGTCAAGGGCGGAGCAGCCAGCATACCTAAAATTGTGTGTAGCGCAATGTAGAACTCTTTTCAAGACTGAACGACCTACTAAAACAATAAAAACTAGAAAAATAATGTTTTTTTTTCTTTTCTTTTTCCTTGATGTGCATTTTTTTAAAATTAATTAAACCAAAGTAAAATTAAAAGATGTGGACGATCATGAGTTATTACGTACAGTATTGATATCGTTCCCCCCCCCCCCCGTTGCATAAATTTGCACTGCACGATCCTTAGTCATCCTTTCCCACAAATGAACATTTTTCACTGGGATATGGGGTAGCAACAGCATACATTTTTTAAAGAATAGCTTAAGAAAAGAGACTGTTTGATTTTTGTAATGTTATATGTAATAACAAAAAAGGGAGTACTAAACGCTTCCTGATCGTTTCACAAGCGAAACAGTCTACGGCTAACGTAACCTTAATTGATGTTGAGATGCTGCTCCGGGTCGATAGACATATGCATATTTATTACTTCACCGAAACTTATCTAATTATCATAGGAATTTGAAATTTTGCATAAGTGTTTTAGTCGTTCTTTATAAGATGTTAATGAATTTTAATGAAATTATCTCAACACACTTAAATCTGGGTTCCAGGTGAATGTGAGAATTGCGAAGTAAATAATTTCTGTACTATTTGACTCTTTAAAAGTTCTTTTTATGAGATCCGGGCGTGTATCGTTTTCGTTCATATTGTTTGTGTTCATATTTTAACGAAGAAAAGCTTTTTTCAAAAACTCTTTCTCTTGGAAACATTTTGATTAATAAAAGGAAAATGATGCCATTGAATACTCTGAACGGGAACCAAAGAACACGTTTAAAACCTAATTTAAAAAAGAGATGTGATGCAGCATTGTAAAATATTTATTATTTACGGCAAGTTTACTTCAATTCTGCGCATAAAGACTCAGAGTTTTCCTTCAATAGCAAGATGAGAACTGCCTAGCTTTCTTTCCTATAATACGTAAGACTCGAATAAAATAATATTTTTATAGGACAGAGATAGTACAGTCCCTGAAACGTTCTACTTTCCCATTTTTCCGTTCGCTCACCGTTCGTTCACCGTTCGTTCAGCGTTCGTTCATCGTTCGTTCAGCGTGCGTTCACCGTTCGCTCTTCGTTCACAGTATTGCGTTCACCGTTCACCATGCGCTCGCGTTCACCGTTCACAAAACGTTCACCGTTCGCTCTTCGTTCCGTTTACTTTGCGTTCACCTTGCGTTCACCGTTCACTTATCGTTCAGTCTTTATTGTCATTTGGAACTCCGAAGTGATAGGACTTATCTTTTAGATGGTAAGGATTTACATGTTTTTAATTGAATAACTTAGATATCGTATTTGAAGAATAATTATTTAATTGCAAAAATTATCAATGATATTTATATTTCTATTATCATAACTCAGCTGTTACTTATTTCATGAATTTTCCCTGGAAAATAATTAATACATTAAGTACCTACATGTATGTAGAACGATACTAAAATATTAACTTCAAAAAAGGGCAATGTACAAATGTTTCACGCACGGCATCAATTTGATTTAATTTTAAAGAGGACAAATGATTAATGGATGTATAATAATTAATCCAAGTCTTTTACAGAACAAGAATACATAAAAAAATTATTTCTACAGTTACACGTATTTAAACTACATGTAGGTTTGAGAATAATGAACAGTACTGCAAATATTCAGTTAATTAAATATCTTTAGAGATAATTAAATTGATGGTGTGGTTTTAAATTTTAGAAAAGACCAACTGTTTAAAATAGTCTACTATTACAGTTGGGAAAATTCCTTCCTTCACCGTACCTAAACATATGTTTAAAAGTATGTTTTTGCCATTCATAATTAACCCCCCCCCCCCCCCGGTGCCTTTTCTCCCGAAATAAAATTCTTATTGAGTTTTTACAGTAGATTTTAATTTACATTTAATTTTTTTTGTAACACAAGAAAATCAGTCTTAAAACCAACATCAAACAGTCATTAAACAATAGTATTTTAGTAAAAACTTGTGCCGACAGAAGTATTTTAAATTGGCAGGGAATATGTTTCACATTCAATTTAAAACTTAATCCTTCCAAGTATATACATGTATTCTAATTATTTTTTTCTGCAGGAATGCAAAAATCAGATCTAGAAATGATAGGGAAAATATTAAAATTTCTTGGAATACTAAGTGACTCTTTGCTTTCGGCATGTTCGGTGAAACGCGATTTCCACATTTCCACTGTGTCGAATTATTTTGATTGACAGCACAAGAACGCTACTACAAATGTAGCACGGACTTCCTGTGAGCTGTGTGAACTTGATGATGGAAAATAAAAGCCAATGATTACTGTCAAATGGATTTTTGAATCTAAAAAAAAAAGATTACCTTTATTGCTTGGAATATTTAGGAAAAAAAATAAGAATTTTTATTTGATACAATATATATCTGAGAATCGAGGGGGTTATCTCTCTCTCTCTCTCGTACATTTCTCAGTTCAATGAAAATTATGACAACACATTACTTGTTTAGTTTTGAAAATTTTATCTACGCATGTATTACAAATAATTTGAATGCCTCTTTCCAACATCTTGACCGAGTATAATCACGGCCGGGAAATGTCCACAGATACATGAAGAAGTTAGCAAAAAATAATCGTCATAAAAGAATAAAAAGGCACATAAAGATAGAATATTTTGCAGTAGAATCTAAAATAAAACGAGAATTTTTATGCAGTACGATAACAGTCAATGTCAACAAATAATTGTGAATTTAAAAAAAAAAATCCGTTATTTTACTCAGAATCGCTTTGGCACGGAAATACATGTACGGTTGTTTCAACCCCGTACACTGTAATTAATTCATTCTGTAAGTAGTAGTTTTATCTTCAGACGTCCACATTATTTATTAGTGAAAAGAATAAGCATAATTATTTACTATATTAGTAGATTAATTTATTTTTTTAACTACACTCTGTAACAAATACACGTTTGACGGCGATTAAAATCATGTTATTAAACTATCGATTTAAACATAGGTATGTGCAGAAAAAAATGTTTTTATTTATTTATTAATTGATGAATTAATTTATTTATTTATTTATTTATTTATCTATTGTTTATTTCAGTAGTAGTTTCATCTTCTAAAGTCCACATTATTTTATTAGTTAAAAGGATTAGCATAATTATTTACTATATAAGATTAATTTATTTTTTAACTACACGCGGTAACAAATACACGTTTGACGGCGATTAAAATCATGTTATAAAAATATCGATTTAAACATACGTATGTGTAGAATTTTATTTTTATTATTTATTTATTTATCTATTTATTTCTCTTTTGTTTATCTATTGATTATTTATATTTATTTATGACATTTGAATTATAGAATAAAAGAATAATTTCAATGCTAGGAAAAGACCAAAGGCATTCCGAATAAATCGTTCATCTTGCGTTCACCGTTCGTTCACCGTTCACTTTGCGCTCGCGTTCGCGCTCCGTTCGCGTTCTGCGTTCACTCACCGTTCACCGTTCACACATCGTTCACCAAGTTGCGTTCACCGTTCCTACATCGTTCACTCACCGTTCGCTCTGCGTTCGTTCACCGTTCGTTCACCGTTCGTTCAGCGTTCGTTCACCGTTCAGGTGGGAAAGTAGAACGTTTCAGGGACTGTATTTAGGTACAATTTTATATATGAAAAGAATGAATTTAACCATTCTGTGTTTTTATTTGTGTATAACTGTGGGTCGCTGGATTACCCGCCGATTGATTCCCGGTGACTGACTTTGCCCCGCGCTATCGAGGGAGGCGTGTTATATAATTGTAAACAAACAAGGTGAATGTAATTCCAAACACGCTACCTGTTTACCTTGCCTGCTTTTACCGCGTTATTACCAATATTCCCGGCATAATCGAACAAAACAGCATTTTCATCAGATCAAAAAGGTGTAAAAGAGCTATTTTGTTCGTAAGATCTAGATCGAAATATTTACCGTTTTTGAGTTATAAAGCAGAAACTTTCAAGTTCCATAGAGCCCTTATTATAGGGGCCAGCCCCTTTTGAATAGTATTACATGAAAGCCCTTGCAATTATG